CGCGGTACCATGCGCTTCATGAAATGAAATGTGCCACAGATGGACCCCAATCATAAAAGTGTAAGGGAAACAGACATCTCAGTGATTACTGTCGTTCATTTTTTCCCCTGTATTCGATCAATCCTTCTGCATTCTAATTATGTCCAAAACTGACAACTGGGCTAGTAAACATCTGTCATCCTATTCTTCTGTTCTCTAGGTCCAATGGCCCTCCTGCGCCTAACTTATCGTTATAAGCAAGGTTTTTGCATTCTTTATTAACTCCGCGGTTTTTTTCCTATCCATTTATTACCAAAGTGTAATTACTTAGCTCTGACATGTTCAGTATGTAGTTTATGAACCGCTATGACCGTTCCCATGGTTATATATTATAGTTTAAAGTTTCTTACTTTACTTTATTTACGTTGCACTGATACTGAGGTAGAGTAGGACGGATGGGAGTCGTTACACCGGGTCATTATACCCAACATTGCACCGTTCCACTGCTTCTGCTAACTAGGGAAACCATTGAGGCAGGCCAAGATGTGTTGGAAGAGGAAGGAATTGAAAGATTATATCAGGGATTACAGTAGAAGTTTGCTCAGGCTGCAGCATGATGATTCAGCTGTTCGAAGACTCAGTTGAAATCTAGGTGTCCGATGGAGTTCGTCAAGGAGATACCATATCGTCCAAGTTGTTCGCGGTATATGTTGATTCAGTATTCCTAAGAATGATATGAGATGGCGGATTTTCAGTCAACCACAGAAAGTTTACTCATCTTCAGTTTGCTGATGATATCATGCCTTTGGGGATAAAGGCAAAAGAAGTTGAAATCGTACTGTGCGAGCTACGGTTAAAGAGCAAACAAGTTAGACTTCGGATAAACGGGACGAAGACGGAAATAACGAGAAAGGAATTCGCACAACCAGCTACAGTTATCATCAATGATGGGCAAGTCGGAAAAGTCACCGAATATGCGTACATTGATAGCTAAGCATGTCAGAACACCCATTAGGACCAGAGCTCTCTACAAAGCGCAAGCATAATTAATCTGGGTACTCTGTCTTTGACCCTGATACCCCAGATTACGGCGACAGCAACAGCAGGGTCTCTAGAATGCGTCGGGGGCCGCGTGAATTGCAAACAAACGCTGACATTCTGGCAAGCAGAAAGTTTCAGCCGTGGCTGAACTACACTGTATGATGCACGGTATTGCCGGTTGCTTTATATGGCTATGAAACCTGACCGTTAACGAAAGCGGTGAAAAACTGAGAGTGCGGCGGCGCGCTCTAGAAAGAACTATACTAGGAATTATCATCATTTGATAAGCTGTAAAATGATGATACATGATGATGCACGAAATTGTTGGACGTTGTCTCAGTTTTCCAGGAGACAAAACGACAGTTAGCATGAAACCACACGAATGATGGATGACTGGATGACCGTTCGACTTCAACCGTGACCGATTGTTACCCAAGAGGCTGCAAATGCCCATCTGGAAAGTTTCGGCACAGATGAGACGATGAGCTAAATGAGAGATACGGAAGCTTGTAAGAACAAATCATACAAGACAGACGAGCGTTGGCATCGAGACTATGCGATGATCGTCATTAATTACAAAGAACAATTGTCAGTTTATATGCGCGAAGCATGCAGATCCCTTTAGGTAGGAATGAAATGATAATATAATACTATTAGTAAGATATACTGAAAGGAAATTTTGTAATTGCCGTTAGATTGTCTTTCTTCCATAGCCTTCTTTTCCTTTTCACCAAGATAATCTCTGCGGAGAGGTGCTGGGGACACTGATCTTTATTTTTGTTATCAGCCATAAATGACTATATATGACTGGAAGCCGATCTTTCTCATTGTGCAGTTAGGATGCCATTAGAAAATGCCATCCAGAACATTTCCCGACTGTAGCACATTTCTTAGGATGGTACTATATTTTCGGTAGCAAAGAAGTCAGTGTGCGTTTCTGTGGAAAGGACGGGCTTAGATTTTTGTTTAAGGAGACACTGCATATCTCCTTAACAAAAGAGATGTGCAACAGTTATGGCAGTTTACTTGTCATCAATTCTGCCTGAAAATCCTTGATGTGATTCTCCTCTTCCTGTAGCTCAGATTTGGTTCAATATTTAACTCTACCTTTCCCCGCACTAACGCCTCATACTCCTTTACCGTTATTCAGTTCTGCTGTGAGTTTCGACTACCGTGCTGATTTTCCACTTGCCGATTCTAATTTTTGTGTTTCTGCTTATCTTAATTATTACTACAATGTTAATTATTGATGTTGATTATATCTAGCCCTGATGATGCTACCGTGTATGTAATGAAACGCGTTGGCAATAAATGGTTGCGCCCTATACCAACCTCACCAACTCCTTTAATCGCTAAACCACCTATCTGTTAATGTTAATAATTGTTCAGCAAGATGCCTGATGTGGCTTTTATGTTTGACGTCGAAGCACTGGAGTTATGTAAAAGTTTATTTTGCTACAACGGCCACTGTGTCGTTGAAAACGCATAAATTCTGCACATGTTGATCATCCATCTTCCATCGCCGCTTCTCCTTTTGGGTCGCGGAGACAGACACGTCAGACAGAGCTTCCAACGTTCCCAGTCCTGTGCCAGACTCTGAGCTTCGGCAAAAAACAATCGGAGTCTGGAACAGACTCCTTCCACATATTTGCACCAGGTTAATCTTGGCAGTCCCCTGGGGCTTTTGCCGGTCGGATTTGCAAGGAACAGTTGCTTAGCCTTCCTTTCTGGAGGCATTCGCAACATGTTGATCATATTAGGCCAATTAAGCAGTGTTTGCAGTTTGACCCGTATAGATAATGACGAGCAATTATTGTTGTTATTGTGTCATTGACATCAAAATCTGGCAGCGCATAAGCAGCAGAGTAACCCGACCTATGATGTCTGACATTTAGAATGACATGCCGTCGTTAGATGAGGTTCGTGTCTTAATTTGCGAGCGAATTCGTGATTTTTGCTCCTTATGAGTCACCATATCACTCCGGTCGTGTTCTGGTGAGTGCTGATATTCGTACTACCCTGTGTTTAGTAAAGAGGAATAGAACTTTATGCCTAGCTGATCAGACGGAGTACCTGCTTCGACCCAGTTGTATGTCATTTCACTATAATAAATTCGACCTCGTTTCGGTGACTCGCTGAAACGTCGTCACCAATAATCATATACCGTGCGTTTGTCATGCTTCATTAGCACAGCTCGTTCGCTAAGGTTTGCATTCTGGTCTGTTTAGTGAAACGTATCAGGCAAATCACAAGGGCGCCTATCCGTCTAGAACCTGCAGTTGCTGTGATAGTTCGATCGAATCAGTGTTTGCCGGTAGTTTCCATGATAGAAGCTGGGACTCGACAAACAGATGCTTGCTGTTGCTCACTTTGAAGATGATCGAGTTGGTGTACATTGCAGTCCGTAGTTCGTGCAACGTGAAACACGTAAATGATCGTTGGTGCAAGCCGGGGCATGCAGTGGCACAGGAAGCAATCCGGTCGCTAAATTGTCGGCCATTCTCATCACGTCATGCACAGCTGCGGAAGTTTCTGTTCTTTTGTAGTCAAAACTCTTGAGAGTGGCAGTTTAGACTGCTCGGTTGAATGAGTGAGTTCGGCTCCAGTGTCAGGTGTTTTGACTGGCAAACGCCTGAACGGTGTTTCAAGCGGCCAAAGTATTGATGACTTCACTCCACAAGTCGGCGTTTCGACTTATGCAGTTGAAGCTGCTGAATTCGAACTTAAACGGACATTTCGAATTTCATAAACCTGGTTAATTAGAAAATTATGGAAAAATCGAACTGTCCATTAAATAAAAATAACTTTATGATACATCATTTGAGTCTTTTATGCTTGAATTCAGTTCATTCGTACTGTCCTTTCCGAGAAAACGCCGTATATCGAATTTATTACATTGCATATTGTCTAACGTTCAGGATCATGCTTAATCTGTCTTCAAGGAGTGATAATGTCGAACCCGTTATGTTTTATCTGTCCCTGAAGAAGGATAGAGCATGATCCGAAATATTGGTGATGAATTCGACACAGGGTGTCATCCGGTAAAAAATTTTTCGGAAATAAAATTTGATATTTATGATCTAATATAATGATGAGAATCAGGTTTATTCATTGCCTTACAGTGTAATATTGAATTCAGCTCCAGCAGAATCATTTTTCAAAATTCAGCGTGGTTTTTTTCTGTTATGCAGTAAGCAACAGAAATGTTTACGCTTCTCATCCTAATCAGTCATGTAATTAAATAACCGTGCAACGTTAAAATCACCAACTGTCACTGAAAGACAAAATAACTTATTTGAAATAGTCACTTATTTCGTTCTTTTTCAGTTTCTGGAAATTCCCTACGTAGATGCGTGATCGCGTAAATTAATTTTCATTTGTCTGGCAAAACGCTAATATTCATTTTTTCACGTGAGAAATTTTATAAGCAATTTTTCGGGAAATTTATTTCCAATTATTCAAAGCCTCATGTATTCATCCTAGGAGCGTTGGGCTAATTTTAGTCGCAGGTCACGGATTAGCAACGTTCGTTAACTACTGAGGAAACTTCTTATGAAATAGCTTGTTTAATGTTAAATTTTGAGGAAATGCGAATCGTACCGCAGTTTAAAACTAGCCAGGTTATGCATGTGCAGACGTCACACAAATCACCAGAGATATAAATGTTTCATGTTTGCAAGGTTACAACGGCAACTGTCGATGGACTACAGTCGTATGTAGTTACGCATTTGGAGAAATTCATTTCTTGATATAATCTCCCCATAGACCTGTTTTTTTGGCCCATGTTCATATCAGTCAGTTTTATCACTCACTCACACACACACACACACACAAATCTCTTTACATCCAAAATTTTCCTCAAAAAGTACATACTTTCAGAGTTTGCAGCTTTTATTTGTTTTCCTCATTTTCAGGTTGAACTTGAGGCGCGTGCAACATTTTTTTCGTCCGACGTGATCTCCGCTAAACCTTTTCCACTTTCAACCACTCGTCGAAGTGTCCACTTTCGCGTTTTTAAATTCGGCAAAAAAATGCTACCTGAAAAGTATGATTATGGTCTTAGACGTAGATGAAGAATACGCTTATTCGCGCGGGTCGCACAACTGCTATCAGCATAATGTGGTCTCTACGAAAAGCAATAGATGGAAAAGATGAAAAACTACAGGACATCCTCTTCCCCCTCAGTATCGCGAACTAAGGCTATTTATAGTATTTTCTTCGGCTTTTTGGGCTCTCTGGGTGCCCTTGAGATGACGGGCAAGACTTTCCGGCTACGTAACTTTGTGCGCTAATAATGCAGGATATTCTCTCTAGTGATCATTTAGTTGTCGTTCTTGTCGTGATCGATTTGTACCGTATCGAATGAGTGAAGGCTGGTTGATTATCTGAATGATTGACTTGACTTGTCATCTTGACCTGAGATCTGATATGAAGGAAACCTCATGGCTGATGAATTCTGTCGATCATTGCACTGCACCTCTGGAAATATCACCGACGAGAAGCGTACTTTAAGGTTTTAATATCTTTCAAGGTTTATTTTTCGTCTGCTGCTTTGCTGCTTGTTGAGTTAAAATCCTGTTTGGGTGCTGAAGTTTCATGCAAATTTTTAATGCGCGTTTACTTTAGGAACCTGGTAAAAAAGTACAGCTTGAAGAAAAAGGACGATGGCGAAAAAAGCAATCCACCATATCCTCCGTAAGCAGCTTTTGATCTACGTTGTATTTTCACCAGTTACGTGAGTTCTCATACGTTTAATACCTACTGTTTTCCTGACACTTTTTCAGCGCATCGCGTTGAAAGACCGATCGCCCGACTCGTGCAAATTGGCCACATTGATTACATATTTCTGTTATTTATATTTATGCGGGAATGAATCGCGTATCGCGAGTGGGTCACCGATTGTTGGACTGAATGATTGATTGACTAACCGACTGGCTGATCATTTGAACGACTGCTATGTTACAGATACAGTTTTATTAACTGATGATTGACCGACTGACTGACTGACCGACCGACCGACCGTGAGACCCGTAGACTGACGAGATGTCCATAAGAAGATTTTAAATTTCATTGCAGGCCGTCGTGGTATTTAAACGAGTTAAATATGAATTTATGTTTGCACCTTGTGCTGCTTTTAGTCAGCCATGAGGTTTGTCAAAGTGAATTGCAGTCAATGAATTCGCATCAAACAGCGTAGCTGCATATCTCGCACGCTTTAGTATCACCATACGAAAGCACCCTTGCTGTCCATTATTCGCAAGTCAGCGACCTGCTATCCTTTTTGGGCTGGTTGAACCGAAGCACAAGGGGGTGAATTCCTTGCTCCGTGGAATTAGCAGTTAATAAGTGAGAATTTACACCGCGCGCTGCCTTTGAACTCGCATTCTGGCATATAAAACAACCTGCTAACCCATTGCGCCACCCCCCCCTCCCCCAATAGAAAAAGAGTAAAAATACTCGAATTTAAGTCTTTATGACGGTTAATGTCTACCGACCTGCTTCTCTGAACGTTTTTCCCCCAGAATCCCATAGTACAGTGGTTTTAAATTTTTGTGGACATAACAGGTTTTGTTAGACGGAAAGAACGTGAAGTGCGGTTTACAGTATTACACAGTCGATGTTCGTATTTAGATTCACATATGAAGCAGCATTTTCGCGTATCCTGGACGAAATCCTGCATTTGGCATGCCAGCACGAGACCGTAGCCGAGAGCTATCATGATGAGATCTGTCCCGACGTATCGCGGGTATCCAAGCAGTTGAAGGAAGAACGCAAATCTGTAAGGAACCATATGTCCTTCACTGATTGTCGTTTTCGCCTTTGACTTTCTGTTCCGCTTTATTTCATGCCTGGTATTGTTTCTGTCAATCGTTTTCATGCGTGAACTTGCTTTACTCATTAATTTGGCCATGTTAATTAAGTTTTCAATGAAAAGCGACCAACGTTCACTGTTCCCTCGATGCCAAAGTAATGAGGGTGACTTTTGCAGGTACTACTCGAGGTAGAAAGCGAACACATTCCTAATGATCTGTCATGTAAATGTATTGATTTGAAACCTAATTTGGTTTCCTTCTCATCCTGTTCCAACAAAATTTTATCACGAGGTTAAATGTAAACTGCTTAAATACCCCATACGACAATTTTGTATGGATTGTTTTTTGCCCTTTCCGGTCCCTAGCCCAGATGAGAAAAGAGAAAGGGTGAGGAGCATGGCGAGATCCGTAAACCTGAGTAATATGTTCTTCATGGTATTGCCGTTATCGAACATCACACCAGCTCGATCGTCACCCCGGTTACCAAGAGCTGCGCAGGATGTTTAGGTAACTGAGACAGACTGTGAAAAGTCGCCGATTAGAATCATCCTCACGCCTTCTGGAAGATGGCGGGGAGGGGGGGGCCATAGCACCATAAAAAAGGCTAACGACGATCGAAAAAAACGACGAAGGTATCAGTGAACAGCGCAGCCGAGACCCATTCTGAACAAAGCGATGCAATTATAGCACGACTCTCTATGAACGACACAGACAGTGGGAGCTTACAGTCGAAATTAGAACATATCCTTACTCGGAGAGAAGGAGCAGAAGCTAGTAGATGATGCTGCAAGGTTCCGACTGGACACAGTTAGACTCTCATCAACGAAGCGTCAAGGCTGTCGAATCCTGAACTTCTGCGGGTGAAAGCTGTTCTGCTCAGGTGTCAGCATCACATCACGACGCGCACTCAGGCCAGCGTTGATGGGTTCTGGTAGAACCCAACCTTGCCGACAGAATTATCGATTGGAAGCCTGTCAGCGGAAGGGTCCTCTGACTGAAGCTACAACGGGCTAAAGCATTGATCTTGGTACAGACCTATGCGTCCAATATAGTGGGAAAATATGATTGCTTCCTTGAGCAAGTGGAGTGTGCTCTGAACGAATGGCCGAATACGAAGTCCCTCATACTCATGAGCGATTTCAATGCGCATGTCGGACTAGACACTGAAAAGTGGAACGGCATGATTGGAATGAACGGCCCTAGC